AATCAAATGAAAAAACGAGTTATCAACTGTCTTAGAGATTATGAGGATCAGGTATGGGCCAATGAAAAAATGAAAAAAGACGGACATGGTACTATCTGGCACTACGAGAGTGTTGCTGAGACACCAAATTTAGACAAGCCCTATAAAGTCTGTCACGAACTGTCTCGGAGACAACAGGTTACATTAACTAGGCTACGCATAGGATATCAGTACACTATACAATATGTACAGGATGCAGTTTTGGATGCAAAACCTGTTTCATATCACAATTGCAAACTGTGCAAGGAACCCAAGTCGCATAATCTCACTCATTACTTGCTGCATAAAAAACTGCATCCTATCGATCAAATAGTACTGTTCACAGAATAGCGCTTGTTGATTATATTAACTTTATTATAGACACTGGCCTTGTCTTTGACATGATTAGTGATGTAAAAGTTTTTTTTACCAGTCAGATATTTTAATATTGTGATAATAGAACAGCCCTTCAGGCATGTATGTAACACTAATGTTTGACCAATGGCCCTCTACACAAATAAAAGCACAGCCAGTTTGGATAGATGCTTTGGTATCTTACCCTGGCTTTTTGCAGGGCATGTACACTGTTCTGTAAATAAATGTTATCAAATCAAATCAATCTCTCTCTCTCTCTCATGATAAATTTCAACGTGGTAATGACAAGATCAATACATGGGATTCATAGTAAAGTGTCGAAGTGGTAGTTATACACAGAACATAGAGCCAATATCTTATTGATACAGATGGTCTATCCAGAGAGAGAGAGAGAGAGAAAGAGAGAGAGAGAGAGAGAGAGAGAGAGAGAAGGAAAGAGCGAGAGAGAGAGGGAGAGGGAGGGAGGGAGGTAGAGGGAGAGGGAGAGGGAGAAGGAGAGAGAGAGAGAGGAGAAGAGAGAGAGAGAAAGAGAGAGAAAGAGAGAGAGAGAGAGAGAGAGAGAGAGAGAGAAGGAAGGAAGGAGAGAAGTGGAGAGAGAGGGAGAGGGAGGGAGGGAGTAAGTGAGTGAGTGAGTGAGTGAATGCCACTCTCACTCCCGCCACCAAGCAAGAGAGTGCGAGACAGCAATTCCGTCACTCCACTGGGCAGTGATCGAGGGTCAAGGATTGTTTGCCGTGGCGAAAGTGGACGCTCGATGGTACTGGAGTTAGAGGGCGTAACGGAGTCACTACATTGCAATAGTTCGTGATTGATATGTTTCTGCTTGTTTCTTCTTTTTCTTCCTGTTCTCCCATTCCCTTTTCTTTTTGTTTTCCTTTTTTTTACCTTTTCCACTTTTTTCCCTTTTCCTCTCCATCGCTTTCTTTTTCTCTCCCGTCTTTTCACTGTATTTGTTTTTGGATCCAAAAATCCATTCATTCATAATTACTGAACCGAAAATAAGTGGAAATTAATTTTGAGTCCTCCCTTTCTTATGGTTTTCTTTGATGGGAGAAAACGCGATATAAAAAGGAGTAACTACACTATTTTTAAGGTGGTCGAATACAGTATTTTCGCCTTGATAAAAATAAATATATAAAGAGGTATATATTTTTTAACTTGAACGCAGAATGGAAAATTGGTCTTCTCTTTCATGCAATAAATGTATATATTTATTTACTTATTGAAACATTTCTGCCGCGTCAACATCTAAGGCCATTAGCACAGCGGTAGGGTGGGGCTCGTGGACGAAATTCCCAAGTATAGCATTATGATAAAGTATAGTAGCGAAAAGGGTAATAAATAGTTAACGATAAGGATAAGTGGCCAGAAGAAAGGGCTGAAGAAGAGTAGGAAACAGAAAGGAGGAGAAGAAAAGAAAGTGCAAAATATGTTGAGACGTGGGCCGAGTAGGACCAAGATCGGGCTGATCCTCTACGTTGGCCCTCAGTCCCCGGTTCTTACGCTCGCCCTCCCCCCTAGCCCACGGCAATGACGAGTAAGGGACTGGGGGGGGGGGGGTAAATGCTTATAGATGTTTAGTGTTGCTGTTTATATTTCTACGTATCATAAAATTAATTTCACGTTGCTTGTCACGTAGGACAGCTTCCTCTCAGAAAGCTAATATTGAAAACTCAGTGATTATTTCGTATTCAGAATCGTATATTTTTCATCGAGAAACATTTCAATTTTTCTTATTTTATGTGGTAAGATAACATATCTATACAGTGTGATAATTTCTTCATGAATCAACTGATTTAAGTTTTGTTGAAAATAATGACGTCAAAACGACGTTTTTGTTAATAAATCGTTCGACTTTACTTCATCGCCTTTAGTATTAATACGCTGTTTATTCTGCAAGTTTCCAAGTATTATAAGATTACGTGAAGGAAGAACCCAAATGAATCGGTATACTTCAGGCATAGGGGCCAAGGAAAATAAGGGGCCCCGTTCGTTCCTCGAAAAAGGGGGTGAGGGGACCAAACTGAAGGCTTAGAACCCACAAGAACTCGCAAGCAAAATTATCCCTTGACATATAAGCCTACCAAGAGCATGGCCAATATGAAGATGATTAATGGTTACAAAGCAAAATAAATGTGCTCTACATCATAGGTCATGTAACACTATAGGAAGGAGTAATAGTGAAAAGGGTAAAGAGGGGGTTAGTTGATGATTACATCAACACGTTAGAAGTATAGCAGTCCACGTAGGGTTTAACAAGGTTGATTAGATCAAAGTTTTCAAAGGAAGAAGGGTGGAATTTTGCAAGGATGTCCGTAGGGTAAAAATGTCAGGAGGGAGAGAATCCAGGGAAGGGAGCTATTGTAACAGAGGGTCAAATGTTTATCCAGGGGGAAGCAGATGTGATAATGGGAAGGAAGGGGTGATGATGTATCTGAAGCATGGGAGGTTGGGGATGTGTTGGAAGTGGAGGGAAGATGGGTAGGGGAAACATGGGTAAGAGGGTGAGGAAAGTTGGCAGCTACTATAGCGCCCTCCCTTTTCTATGCTCCTTAGCAAAGACCTTATTACTTCTCTTTGCTCTGGGAACCACTCAGACTTTATCCAGAGGGGCACTATCTGTTAATACAAGTGTGTGGGTAACAAAAAAGCTTATATTTTGTAGGGTAAACTATCATATTTTACAATTTTCTTATCTTAGAAAAAATATAATATTGGAATATATAGAATTTCATGTAAAACTATTAAAATAAGATATCATCTTTCTAGAAAAATAATAAAGTACCTTTCTCTCACATGATTAAAGCTAAAACTGAGGTATACTTAAATAATACATATGCATAAAGACTAAGTTAGGTGTATACAGGGGGGTTTTCAGACGAATTTTGAGTCATTCTAAATTCACATCCCTTGTGCTCGTTACACTACTGTGTTTAGAATGGGAGAAGAGAGACTGGAGTATGGGTGAGGCACAGGTATGTTATGTTGGGTCGTGAAATGTCTGAAATTTTCGTGAAATTTTCTGCAGTGGAGTCGATTAGGGAGGTATGAAAAACAAAGGTTTTCTTATGAGTGGAAGAAGAGGAGACAAATGTTTGCTGGGTGGGAGAAGAGGATGGAGTAGAAGATCGGGTGGAGCGCTTAGCTTGCCTTGTGCAAGGAGGAAGAGTGGTAGGTATCGGGGAAGTAGTGACTGAAGTGCCTGAAACAGTGGTGGAGTTTGGGGATGTCTGGAGAATTTGACTCGGATAGTGAGGGGTAAAAGTTACATGAGGAAGAGATACTGGGGAGATGTAGAATTATCTTGGAAGGAAAAGGGAGGGGCAAAGCGAAGGACGTTATTGAAGTATAGAGTGAGAGAAAAACTTCTTGACGTGTTTCCTGTCTGGCTTCGCTCAAAGTGAATCAAAGTTTTATCTGAGAATTGCCCTGCAACGGTCGTCTTGTCCGCACTCCCAATTGCGCTTAATGGTCGAACCAGCAGTTCTTCCATAACGACCGTTTTACTAATTAACGAGCTTTGCCTTGGAGCGACTTGACATTATGGATATGGAAAGCTACATAAACAGAAAGATTAACACTATTCTAAATACATTTCTTTTAATATTATTCGTTAATTTCAGTCGTAATCTTGTTGCAACAATAATATATTTTGCGCCAAGAAGAGGACTTAATGGAATTTCGTAAGAAATATAATGGCGTTATTTAACTAGATTTCATTTTTTTTATTTGGTTATTGGATAACTTATCTGATTTTTCTAAATATTCCCAATCGTCTTGCAAAAGCTGATATGATTTCTAGAGTGATCTGTGTTGCGAGTATACAGTCTTTGATCATTTGATTTGTTGATACGCTCCCCTAAACGTTATAATAGCAATTGATTTCTTGTGAGAGCGGGAGCACAATTTTGCATAGTGTACAAAGTACCCCAAAATAATTAAGAAGTATCAAAGAAACCTACAGCATTGCACTTTGTAACTTTGTGTTTGGCTGTACGAGTATTTCAAAACCCATCACAATTCCTAGTCACTATTTCCCAAAGTCACCGTTTTCTTTGATAGTTAAAAGGAAGTTAAATTTATTAAGCGAAACAAATATAAGTTTATAATTAGACATGATTTTAAAAATGTAACTTAAAAGGAGAAATCTAAAAACATTTTACAATATTGTAGGGATTTCTGTCGGGGGGGGGGGGCGAAAGAATGAAGGAGGAGCCCATTTACTTCCCCTGAGAGGAGACTTGTTGTCCCATGCCCCTGGTACATAACCCTTAGAAATAGGGTCTGGTTATCGTGTTCCTGACTCTTTTTGAATATCAAAAAAGAAAAAAGAAAACAATAAAGCACCCCTAGTAAAACTATATATGGTGAGTAAAGCATAAGAACGGATTAACGTTAAAAAAGGGACTTAGGCTTTAAACATGGAGCATCTCTGGCTGGTGCTGGCCGATGAAAAAAGCCTTAGGTTGTAAACCTTATGTTAACTTGAAGGTATCCACGTCCAGCACTTCCTAACTGACATGTAAAACGGCTCATACACAACCTCGCCTTGCCTACCCAGCGACGCCACAGTAAAGGGTAATCCAGGGGTATACACAAACACCAAGTTCAGAGGTAACTCCCGCATGGGTTTATTCCCTACAGGTATTTATACAAACTGAGCCATGTCATTGTGGATACAGTTTTATAAACCAAACAAAGATACACTTATTTAAGAATACTTTATGAGACAACAGTGCTAATTAACAATAAACAAAATATTAGGTCGGAAACTTCACAATATATTCGTACCTTTATTCTTGGTACATTATGTGTTGCTAATGTTCATAGGCATCATCATCTGCATTCTGTCTGGTATAAAATAAGGAAAAGATATATGATTAGTTGTGCGTCATATAATGGAAAATGAGTTTCTGACTATATTATTCCTTCCTACCGTTAGACCTACTAGCAAGTACACACACAAACAAATATCTACACAAGAATACCATTCATTAAGTTTACGTCTTGAAGACAAAGTACAAATGATTTTTCTTACGTCGTATTCCTGACTGAGCACTCGGAGTCCAGTTTGGTCTTCAACGTCGGGCCTCGGGGCTTACAGGCAGGCAGATCATATCTGATGGTGTGTAGTAATATCGTAACTGACAAATGTCTGTATATTTACATAAGTTATGTTGTCACAATGTTTGCAAGCCCTCAGTCCATTGCAGGATATTAATAACACGAGACACTAGAATATGATTATTATTTAAACCTTTTTATCCTACAAATATCCGCTCTAGTCTTGTCTTCCGCTGACGATAAGAAGTTTGGATATTCTGAAATTTGCACGGTCTTTACGGACTAAATACGGTGGTAGAAATACCGTTTGCCCAAGAGACCTCATCCTGGGCTTTAGGAGAAAAGACGAGATGGACGCTTATCCACGTCACTATAATAACAAACACACTTGTGGTAGACAGCAGGTGTGCGGAGGAAATTGAGCGCTGGAGAGGGCTGGATCAGAACCAGTTGATGCGCTATATGTAGTTTATAATAGCGGTATCCCAACCAAGTGTCTCTTTCAATGTTACTCTTTCATCTTTCTTCTCTAAGGTATCTCCCTCTGCCCTTCCAGTGGTCCCTCAGTTCACCATAAAATGCCCCCTTGGCGTTTCCAATATACTTTCTGCATCCCTTCTAGCAGTGCCACTCAGCCTATCAAACAGTGTCCCAGTACTCCTTCCACTGAATTCCTTGGTACTTCCGAATATGCTCCTTCGACGTGCCTCAAAGAGCAGAGGATGCCGTAGAACACACACGTTCTCCCTCTCTCTACCCTTTCCCCTCTCCCTTTCCTTCCCTCTTTCCTTCTAGCCCTTCCCCTTCCGCTCTCTCTCTCTCTTTTCTTCCCTTCCTCTCCCTTCCCTCCACTCCTTTGCCCCCACTTCTCTCTCTCTCTCTTCTTCTCTTCCATGCCCGACTTTCTCTTACCTATGTATATCAGCATCAGGGTTATGGCACGGGATAGTATTGGGTCCAGCGACACAAGGGCATTCACACTCCATCTCGCAAGTGTCGTAGCATTCGGAGAGCTTTCCGTCCTGTCGGAAGATTATATAATCATTACATATATGTGTGTGTGTGTGTGTGTGTGTGTGTGTGTGTATGTGTGTGCGTACGTGCGTGCGTGCGTGTGTGTGTTTGATTCTCTGTGCGTTTGTGTTTATATATCATCATTACCATTACCATCACCATTACCGTCCCCCACAAACTAAACGAAACCTTATTCTCAAACCCACCGAATAAGGATCGCAGTTGCAAGGAATCACGTTCATCCCCTTGGTGCGATAAACGAGGAAGAGATTCGTATGCGCAATCTTGTGGATGCCGAAGTTGGATCCTTCGTAATATGTGCGGAAGGCGAGGAAGGAGAGAGTCCAGTAGTAGTACGTAGAGTCCCTGTCGTACTCGTGGCACGCCCGGCGCCTCAGGTGCTTTTCGGTGATCAGCTCACGTGCTGTGGGAGGGGAACAGCGTCAAAGCGGGGTGCTTTACATTATATATATATATATATATATATATATATATATATATATATATATATATATATATATATATATATATATATATATATATATATATATGAAAAGATACATATGTGTATATATATTCATTCATTTATTTATTCATTCATATCTCTCATTCCTTTTTTTCCTTTGTAATACAAAACCATCGCCCTAACCAATGTCTGACGCCACGAAGTTGATGTGGGATCCTACGATCTTTGAGCTCTCGTTACACGTGTCGCCATGCTTTCCCTGCCAGTCTGACATGAGGACCACGAAGCCCATGTGGTTCAGTAGAAAACACCTGGAGGAGGAAAGGGCGCTGAGGTTCGAGTAGTGAGTTCGGGACGTGAGTATTAGCGCGGGAAGAAAGGGGATTTATTTGATTACTGGATTAATTACGACTGGTGTTTCATTCTTGTGAGGTCAGTGTGGTTCAAGTGGTTTTAGTTCGACTGTCATGGGGAGGGGGACTTAGATTAGGTGGGTTCGAATCCCTTTTGAGGGAAGTTATATCACGGTGTGGGGAGCACAGATACTTATCTTTATGTTGGAA